CCTGAACCATATATTGTTGAACTGTATCTATGTAGTCATGCTTCCACTGAAATTTTTATCTTCTCGATTTTAATGTCAGAAGAAATAGGATTAGATAACATTTACAATAAAACGTAAACATGTAAACGCATCGAAATGTTGATTTGCGGAGATCGGACTGAGGCAGCCTGAGTCTCAACGCACCGATCGGTGCGATAAAAACACGATCTCTTGATACTCAAAGACCGACTAAGAAACATGTCAAGGATGAGGAAAGAAGGAACTCACGGCAGTGAGAATCCCCTTATCGATCGTGAAGTAGTTGGAGGCAGTGATCCTCAACGGGTGTGAGGAGACCTGCATCTGAAAGCCTTGCATCTGCTGCCATATCTGAGGACTCAAGTTGGCTCCACACTCCTTCGAGACCTCTTTCAGCAATGCCTCGGTCTGAACGAAAGAACGAAATGAATTGGAAGCGGATCTGTCCGCTGAAAGAATCTAAACATCTGCAAACCACACGTGGTATCAGTAGGGGATTTGGGAGGGGTTTGGGAGGATGGGAAGAGAGTTTGCCGATACTAGGCTTATTGAACATTGTACTGTAGATGAGAGAGGTTGTTCGCTCATGCATCATAGGGAAGAAACGAGGAGCCATGCCTTGGATTACCTTCAATCATGGGCGGCCTGTGATTTCGGCAATTGTAGGTCATGAACATCACCATCATGATCATGAACGAAAGAACGGGGTGAATAGGAAGTTGATCTGTCTGATGATTGAATCCAAACACCAGCAGACCACAAGGGGTTTCAGTGGAACATCTTAGGGGAGGGGGGGGGGGGTTTACATGGATCCACTACTGGCTTTAATGGCTTGTCGTAAGCTAAGGGAAGAGCCATGCTTTGGGATACCTTCTCCACGAAAAAGAAATCAAATTTCTCTCTGAGTGAGAGAAATTTGCCTACTTTCTATATCATAGCGCTTCTTTTTGGAACATTTCTGCATGAGATAGAAAAAGAGTCAAACTGTTCACATCAACCTCGTATGTGATGTTCTAAGCCACATTTACTTGCTTTAATTTACCCTATCTTGTTCCTCATCAAAAGTGCCATGAAATGCATAGTCCGCGGCAGAAATACTTACCGAGATGGAGGAGTTGCGAAGAAGATGGCATTGTCCATTTATGCATTGTCATGAAGATATCCTTGGAATTTTTACCACATAAATTTCCAGGCCTGATACATTGATACTTCATTCAAAGGTGTACTTCGCACATATTCCCCAGCAATTGCAGAGCAGTTTCGCTACATACCCAAGCAACGTTGCTGCAGCGTGATTTCAGCAAGTGACGTTGCATTAACGTCACATGAGCGTCACTTACATGTATGTGTTGCTTGGGCACCCACCGCGTAAAGCCAATTGAAACGAATTTCCCATGTTGGCGACACAAATCGGAAATTCCACCTGCACACCATCTGTTGGTTGAAAATGGCTGAGAGCCAGCCATTAGTTACTTAAATGCTGGAAACAGGCTTAATATCGCATTAAGTACGGAAAGAGTCTACCAGACATGTGCCGTTGGGCCATGTGCATGTGTAACCACATTCGTCGTACCCATCCAGGTCTCTTTTTCCTTCATATTGGTTGCATTTCCGAGTTCAACACAAAATATCCCTTCACTTGCTTCTTCCCAGCACGGGAACGGAAAACGGAGAGGTACTAGCCTTTATCAATTGACGAATGATATGCATTTGAAGTCACCTCAGGTATTCCCAACAACCTGAATAATTCTTCATCTCTGGCATTCATTTGTGTATTCACTGATGGGTTAACTGCTTTACGATATAAGAGACGCATTATGTGGAAAGGACACATCTGGAGTAGGTCATCAATGCATCCATTTAGCGACTTTCTAAGGTAATTATTTCCAGAAATATTGTAACCATCGTTACTATTTAATGACCATGCTCTACGACCTTCTTCTCTTAATTTTGGGTATCGTACTGCCCTTCTATTTCAATTCCATAGACCCCCACCCCTCAACACCGTCCCATCTGGCTACAGCACAATTCAGATATGCCGGCGAATGGGCAGCGAAGTTTACTCACCCTATTGGACACGCTTCCTCCTGCTTTGCAGATGAGTAAAAGCAGAAACGACATGACGAAGACGATGAAAGCCTGCTCCATGACGTGAAGCACTTTCTCCTTCTCCCAGTGATCCACACACAGATATATGGTTGCTGTTATGCTTGCGATACCTTGGAAAATGCGGAGCATTATCGCGGGGTGGAAGACGCTGCTCGTGTGTTCCACGGCGTCGCTCACTTGGAAGTATCGCTGTCGGGTATCTTCGATAGCGATGCTGAGTTTGGATTCCGATTCCTTCCTGACGCTGGTCGTCCTATTGTAGTTCGTTAGTAATATCTTCAGTGTTGTCATGTTACTGGCGGAAATCGCTTCCAAAAATTTGCAGATGTACGTGAAATTGAGATCTATGGATCCTGGACAGTTGTAAAGGACAATGTAAAACACGATGAAGGAAAATCGACTCCCAACGACGCAAAACCTAGACTCTCTGCACTGTTCGTAGGATTGGATGAACACGAAGTGAAAGACCATCCATGCGGAACACCCGAGATATACCAAAGGGAGTAGATAGCCGTATCGCCTGAGACGCACCTCATCTTCTGGCAGCAGGTCAATCTTCATCTCCAGCTGTTCCAACTTTTCCAAGAGCTTGGGGATCTGCTTCGCCTTGAATATATTTGCAAAATAGACGATGCAGATGATGAAACACCCCTCAATGATTTGAATGACATGGGCGATCTGACCCGCTGTCCCGTGTTCGGATTCATCGACCATTGGATTATATATTCCCTCATTCCCAGTGGCATCGGGGGACGCCAGGCGGTGGAGAATCATGGTAATGATGCTGGGAACGATGAACGAGAAGGGGATGCAGATGAGCCCATAGAGGAAGGCCAGACTGCAATAACGGAATTGCAAGGCCTCGCCCTTCCTCCCGATGGATCGAACCCGCTGGAGGGGGAAGGTCCCACACAGTTTCCCCAGAACTGCCAGCACACGGAAATAATACAGTCCTATGGACTTCATGGCTTCGTGGAAACAAAGGTCGGAGAGAAGTGAATGAATGATTGCAAGCTCCTTCGCCGTTATCTCTCGTTTGATGAGACTTAGTTTACCTTTCCTATTTGACTCAACCTCATGGAAATTCGACCAGCTGAGGTATCTCCTTCACGTTTGATAATTTTCCATATTCCATTATCTTTTATCTTTTGCGTCAGTTTCGTTATTGCGTACATTTATTGATGACGGGCGTGTCGACAGGCACGTACTTTAATGCTTTTCTCCTTTTTTTCATTCTGCTGCAAAGTAATCCTGCCATTCTCTCTGCCTTACATGTCATCTTAATGTTATACCTCTGAATTTGCTGTTAGATCAGGGTGTGCAACCTTTATCGGCAGTGGTCCGCATGGAAATGTCTCATTCTTCACGCGGGCCATGAAATGCAAAAGAAAAGGCTCCCCTCTTTTGCCCTCAGGGCATACGAGGACATAAGGTCGCACTGATTGACCGATGGTCCTTGCCCTCGCCCCACCCTTAGGAAATTCCAACGCCTAAAATTATCCTTTGGCATTGAGAACCATCATTCCTCGAGACATGTACAGCGCCCCCGCGTGAGGAATAAATAGAGGAAGGAAGTGAAAGGTATTTCTAGTCTAGTTACTGAGGTATGACCAAATTTGTGATGGGCCTTGGGCCGCAAATAAACTTATTTTATCTTATATCCCATTATGCATTATCGGGCTGCAAGAAGCAGGTCCACGGGCCGCGGGTTGCACATCCCTGTTTTAGATAGTTTGTAATTAATTTTCCACTCATTTCTCCTAGTTTTTCAAAAGGGGAGGCGAATATAAGCCCAGCCTATGCAGAATTCCGTGTTCAGCCGTCTTTGCGCATGTCATTTTCGTCCCTCTGAATCTGATTTTCAACATTTCTCCCTATATTTCGTCATTTGGAAAGCGAAAAAGGAATATCGGTGACTGGAATACATTTAGGAAATTGGTTTTGGCACAAGATTCCGCTGACGATCTCGCGATTCGAGTCGCCGTGTTCCACATTCAGTTTTACGTCGCAGTATTTTTCCTTCGAAACGGCGAAAATGACATATCGGTGCGGAAACTGTCTCCTCATGCAACCGAACTCTCTCGGACGATAACAGATATCGTATTGCTGGTAATGCAGTAATTTTTAACCAGATCTTCTGCTGACATTCTTCAATTACGGAATGCCGAAAATGAATTACGAACCTCCAACATGCGGATTCCAGAATTTATATTTTTTCTCTGCAGACTTGATCGTACACTGGCTTTAAGGATTTGCCGACAGTCCATTAGATTTTCCTTTGCTTCAATAATTACATATCCCTCCCCATTTCTCTGGAATGAATGGTGGTCTGCAGAATCTTCAAACTTGCACCTACGATCCACTCCAGCAGAAGATGGTCTTTCTAGCGATTGCTTTTTTCCTTTCCAATTGCTCCGATTTCAACCTTGGCCTCCAATATCGAGATATTGAAGGAACCTTGTTCGTCGACGAACTTCAAATACCGCGGACGATCTCGAGGTTCTAGACGCCGTATTTCACAGTTTTGCTTACGTTGGGAAAACCAAAAGAGACATTTTGTTGCCGAAACTGTATGTCTTCGATTGCGATCCGTTTCTCATGGATGAAAGTCAATTGCCAAATGCTGTAACTGCTGTTACTTTTCACTATATCGATATTCTTCACCTACAGAAGGCCAATAGTGCGTTAAAAACCTTCTAAAAGCGAATTGCAAAAGGTTTAAAAAGACAGGGAAAGTGATGAAGCAACACAATTGGACTTTTCAGACGTTTATTTTGTACAGCGCCTAAAATGACGTCAGATGTTACTATACTGTAAGTCACTTTCAAAATTGTACGTCCTTTTCTCTCACACTAAATCCATGTCCTGAAGCTCTAGTTTATCCCAGTAGAATTTGATGGGAGTGAATCGTCCATGATTTCCTCCAGACGAAATTGCAGCAAAACCACCAAGTACGTCACTATCGTCCCGAACGCCTGCAAACCCAAAATAGACTTGTGCATGGTAGTATTACCCAACCATACACCTATTTCTTGAGAATATGTGTTTTCTGAACCAAAGGTTGTTGAAAATGCTGATCAATGTAGAATCATGCTTCCACTGAAATTTAAGTCTTCTCGATTTTAAATTCTAAATTTGAATTCGCGGGGATTGGGCTAAGTTATCTTAAGTCTCAAATCACCGATCGGTACGGTAAAAACACAGTCTCTTGATACACAAATACCAGCATGAGAAACATGTCAAGGATGAGGAAAGAAGAAACTCACGGCAGTGAGAATCCCCTTATCGATCGTGAAGTAGTTGGATGCAGTGATCCTCAACGGGTGTGAGGAGACCTGCATCTGGAAGCCTTGCATCTGCTGCCATATCTGAGGACTCAAGTTGACTCCGCACTCCTTTGAGACCTCTTTCAGCAATGCCTCGGTCTGAACGGAAAAACGAAATGAATTGGAAGCGGATCTGTCCGCTGATAGAATCTAAACATCAGCAAACCACCCGGGCTATCAGTGGGGATCTGGGAGGGGTTGGGGAGGATGGGAAGAGAGTTTGCCGATACTAGGCTTATTGAACATTGTAGAAGAGAGAGGTTGTCCGTTCATGCATCAAAGGGAAGAAACAAGGAGCCATGCCTTGGGTTACCTTCCCTCATGGGTGGCCCGTGATTTCGGCAATTGTAGATCATGAACATTACCGTCTTCCCACCGGAATAAACAACCAATTTCCCTCTAAATGTTCATTAGTGCCTTCCTTTGGACCATTGCATTAGAGAAAAATACAAAGAAATAAATTTTTCCCATAAATCTCGGATATGATGTCCTAAACCGATTCAATTCGCTTCAATTTACGCCATCTCGTTACTCTGATAACACGCAATGAAGTCACTAGTCAAAGGCAGGATATTTTCCTGGGTCGAGGAGTTGCGAAGAATATTGTATTGTCCATTTTTTGCATTTCCACAAGGGATAATATAAAACCTTCAGAATAATCCACTGTTTGAAGCCAAAAGAAACAAATTTCCTATTTTATTGGCTATATTGGTGGGTGATTTCTGCCTGCACATTATCTGCGGGTTGAAAGTCACTGTCGCACTGCCATTTGTTACTTGAGTGCTGGAAACCAACCGAAATCTTACTTTGCGAAATCTCTACTTGATTAAGGTGGTGGTCAATAACGTGGATGGAGCGGAGCCGCGCACTGCAGTTAGTACACTGTTGCAATATGGGCCATGTGCTGTCGGGAAACATGTGTGAAACAACCCTTCTTGTATCAATCCTGGTCACTTTTTACTCCACGTTGGTTGAAATTACCAGTTCAAAGGGAGAGATCCCGTGACTTCGTTCTTTCAAGAATCGGAACGTTATAGTGGCGAGCTAATAGCCATTTTCAATAGACAAATGATGCGCAGAAAGTATTTACCTTTGGCCTTCCTTGAGAATTAATCATCTCTGGCTTCAATCAATGTGTTCACGGATGGGTTAATAGCTATGCAATAGAAGGGGTTAAGTGGAAAGGACACGTGGAATGGACATCGGTTCATCCAGTTAGACATTTTCAGGGTAAATATTCTCAGAAATGAAATGTTGTCGAATTAAATGACTTTTTTTCTTCTAGATTTTGGGTGGTTCCTTCGTATACTACTGCCCTATTATTTTACATTCCATTCAGTTTCAGGGAGTTGTTCCTCATCCTCAACACCGTCCCACCGAATTACAGCACTATTCAGATTTTCCAGCAAATAGGCAGCGAAGATGACTCACACGTTCCGACACATTTCCTCCGGCTTTGCTGACGACGAAAAGCAACGCGGACAGGGCGAAGACAAGGGCAGCCTGATCAACGACATGAAGCACTCTCTCCCTCTCCCAGTTCTCAGCACACAGGTAGATGGTGACTGTGATGACCGAAATACCGTTGAAAAAGCGGATCAACATCGCGGGGTGGAAGACGCTGCTCGTGTGTTCCACGGCGTCGCTCACTTGGAAGTATCGCTGTCGGGTATCTTCGATAGCGATGCTGAGTTTGGATTCCGATTCCCTCCTGTCGCTGGTGGTCCTATTGTAGTTCGTTAGAGATTGCTTCAGGGTAGTTACGTTGCTGACGGAAATCGCTTCCAAAAATTTGCAGATGTACGTGAAATTGAGATCTATTGAACCTGGACAACAGTAAAGGATGCTGTGAAACACGATGTGAGAAAAACGGCACCCAACTTCGCAAAGGCTGGAACCTTCACATGCATCGTATGAAGTGAGGAATGCATAATGAAAGGTAATATATCCTGAATACCCGAGATATACCAAAGGGAGTAGGTAACTAAATCGCCTGAGACGCATCTGATCTTCTGGCAACAAGCCAATCTTCATCTCCAGCTGTTCCAACCTTTCCAAAAGCTTTGGGATCTGCTTCGCCTTGAAAATATTTACACAGTAGACGGTGCAGATGATGAAACACCCTTGAGCGATTTGAATGATCTGGGCTATCTGACCCGTCGTTCCCGTCCCGGATGTAACGGAGACTAGTTCCTGGATCAGTCCGTCGTACCAAGTGGCATGGGGAGACGATAGGATGTAGAGACACCCCGCGATGATTACAGGAAGACAGATCGTGAGAGGGATGCAGATGAGTCCATAGAGGAAAGCCAGACTGCAATAACGGAATTGCAAGGCCTCGCCCTTCCTCCCGATGGATCGAACCCGCTGGAGGGGGAAGGTCCCACACAGTTTCCCCAGAACTGCCAGCACACGGAAATAATACAGTCCTATGGACTTCATGGCTTCGTGGAAACAAAGGTCGGAGAGAAGTGAATGAATGATTGCAAGCTCCTTCGCCGTTATCTCTCTCCACACAGTTTCCCCAGAACTGCCAGCACACGGAAATAATACAGTCCAATGGACTTCATGGCTTCGTGGAAACAAAGGTCGGAGAGAAGTGAATGAATGATTGCAAGCTCCTTCGCCGTTATCTCTCCCTAGATGAGTCTTAGTTTACCTTTCTTATTTGACTCAACCTCATGGAAATTCGACGAGCTGAGATATCTTCACGCTTGATAATTTTTCTTATTCCATTTCATTATATCTTGTATTATTACATTGCATCAATGCGTACATATCTTATATCGATGACCGGCGTGACGACTGGCACGTACTTTCATGTTTTCCTCCTTTTTTCCATTCTGCTGCCAATTAATCCTGTCACTCTCTCTACCATAATGTGTCATATTAATACTAGGTGTTCAACTAGCTTAGTGGTCTCGGCCCCTGCCCGCTATGGACTGCCGGGAGATCACAGGGTGGCCTGAAAAAGAAGTCTCATCTTATCTGATGCCTGCATGGACTCCCTTTCTTCAAGGGACTTTTTTTTATTGAACCTATCGATCGGCCTGGAAAGCTGTCGTGGTTAGGAGCGTGAGATTTGCAACTGTTGAAAAGGGTAACGCACCTGTAGTTTCAGCCGAGGCTCCAACCCTTTTCGCTACTCACTAAAAACTCGTGTACAATTAGGACGGAGACGGTTCATCTTTGGTACATGTCTGGGACTTTTCTCATCTTCGATCGTTACGTTCTGGGATACTTAGCGATGGTAATTTTGGCAGATGTAGGTCTATCCTAATGCAACACTTTTAAATACCTTTTCTAATTATTCACTACAGTGTCGATCTTGATTCGATAGAGAATGGCACACGATAGAGTACATGTGAAACCTCTGCTGTTGCGCAACTTGAGAACTTGGAATATTCAAGATTCACGAGAGGCTGAGGGAATATCCTGCGTCTCTACCCGTTTTAAATTTTTTCCTTTACTTTAAGACTTTAAAACGGCACTGTGGAAGCTAAAAGCGGAGTATAGCCGTGGTCTGTTTATTTAGGTAGCAGCATAAGTATAATCTAGTACCATTATTATAAAAAATATGGCACAGAATGTGTTGGATTAACATAGGGCTTTTTTCACATTTTTATTTTGTACTGCACTCAAAATGACGTAAGGTGTATACCGAGTAGAACTTTTCGGTATGATGCATATTTCTCTGATACAAAATCCGTGTCGAAAACCCTAATATATTTCGGAAGAGTTGGATGGAGGTAATTCTTGCATTATATCTTCCAGACGAAACTGTAAACAACTGTAGCAAAACCACCAAATGAGCGACTATCGTCCCAAAAAAAACCTGAAAATACAAAGGAGATATCTGCTCGAGACGAACTTTATTCTTCCGGCATCAGACCGATCTTCGTCTCCAGCTGATCCAGTCTTTCCAGAAGTTCAGGGATTTGCCTTGAAGATATTGGCGCAGTAGACTGTGCACATAATGAGGATGCCTTGGACATATTGGATTACTTGTGCGATCTGACCCACCGTTCCATTCGCATGCGAAACTTCTGAATTTGACTAAACGCCCCCGAAATGTCGACTGTGAACTTGAGTCGTCGCTGAACCTCGACTGGAAGCAACTCCGATCCATAGTCCAACTTTCCTCGAAGCAAGGGAATACGGCTTCAGTCCCGACCCGCCGCCGGAACCAATAAACTCGCTATACGAAGTGCTGCCCACGGAAGTCTCTTGCAAGNGCCAGACTGCAATAACGGAATTGCAAGGCCTCGCCCTTCCTCCCGATGGATCGAACCCGCTGGAGGGGGAAGGTCCCACACAGTTTCCCCAGAACTGCCAGCACACGGAAATAATACAGTCCAATGGACTTCATGGCTTCGTGGAAACAAAGGTCGGAGAGAAGTGAATGAATGATTGCAAGCTCCTTCGCCGTTATCTCTCCCTAGATGAGTCTTAGTTTACCTTTCTTATTTGACTCAACCTCATGGAAATTCGACGAGCTGAGATATCTTCACGCTTGATAATTTTTCTTATTCCATTTCATTATATCTTGTATTATTACATTGCATCAATGCGTACATATCTTATATCGATGACCGGCGTGACGACTGGCACGTACTTTCATGTTTTCCTCCTTTTTTCCATTCTGCTGCCAATTAATCCTGTCACTCTCTCTACCATAATGTGTCATATTAATACTAGGTGTTCAACTAGCTTAGTGGTCTCGGCCCCTGCCCGCTATGGACTGCCGGGAGATCACAGGGTGGCCTGAAAAAGAAGTCTCATCTTATCTGATGCCTGCATGGACTCCCTTTCTTCAAGGGACTTTTTTTTATTGAACCTATCGATCGGCCTGGAAAGCTGTCGTGGTTAGGAGCGTGAGATTTGCAACTGTTGAAAAGGGTAACGCACCTGTAGTTTCAGCCGAGGCTCCAACCCTTTTCGCTACTCACTAAAAACTCGTGTACAATTAGGACGGAGACGGTTCATCTTTGGTACATGTCTGGGACTTTTCTCATCTTCGATCGTTACGTTCTGGGATACTTAGCGATGGTAATTTTGGCAGATGTAGGTCTATCCTAATGCAACACTTTTAAATACCTTTTCTAATTATTCACTACAGTGTCGATCTTGATTCGATAGAGAATGGCACACGATAGAGTACATGTGAAACCTCTGCTGTTGCGCAACTTGAGAACTTGGAATATTCAAGATTCACGAGAGGCTGAGGGAATATCCTGCGTCTGATGGGCAAAATTTAAAAAAGGAAATGAAATTCTGAAATTTTGCCGTGACACCTTCGATTTTCGCCTCATATCGGCACCAGACAAATAAATCCATCGTCGTATTCATATTAGATCATGGTAATAATACAAATATGGCACAGAATGTGTTGGAGTAACATAGGGCTTTTTTCACATTTTTATTTTGTACTGCACTCAAAATTACGTAAGGTGTATACCGAGTAGAACTTTTCGGTATGATGCCCATTTCTCTGATACAAAATCCGTGTCGAAAACCCTAGTATATTTCGGAAGAGTTGGATGGAGGTAATTCTTGCATTATATCTTCCAGACGAAACTGTAGCAAAACCACCAAATAAGTGACTATCGTCCCAAAAAAACCTGCAAATACAAAGGAGATATCTGCTCGAGACGAACTTTATTCTTCCGGCATCAGACCGATCTTCGTCTCCAGCTGATCCAGTCTTTCCAGAAGTTCAGGGATTTGCCTTGAAGATATTGGCGCAGTAGACTGTGCACATAATGAGGATGCCTTGGACATATTGGATTACTTGTGCGATCTGACCCACCGTTCCATTCGCATGCGAAACTTCTGAATTTGACTAAACGCCCCCGAAATGTCGACTGTGAACTTGAGTCGTCGCTGAACCTCGACTGGAAGCAACTCCGATCCATAGTCCAACTTTCCTCGAAGCAAGGGAATACGGCTTCAGTCCCGACCCGCCGCCGGAACCAATAAACTCGCTATACGAAGTGCTGCCCACGGAAGTCTCTTGCAAGCGAAAACAGAAAGTGGAGAGTGATGCAGTCTCCGTCTAGTTCGGTCAGCTCTGCAGAGTGCCTCCCATTCACGGACTCGACTTCGACCGAGCGGAAGCCACGACAGGAGAGTCTCCTGCAACTTAAGGTGCCTTTTAAGAACTATAATGGCTTAAGTTGATCGGCAGATGTTGAGATGCGAGAATGTAACGGCCCGCAGCACCGGATGGCCTGATCCAACTGTCGGAGCTAGAGTGCCGTTCCCAACGGTCATCTCCGAATTGTCTTCAACAGGAACTCGAAGTGACGCGCTTTTGCTTCGTCTGCCGAGTGCGTAAAGAGGCACGCGAACAGGTCTTCAAATGATTGCGGTTGTCCTCTGTGGGACGAGAAGCGTTAAAACGTGCCTTAAACGCTTTCGGCTGATTTTTCCTGATTCCCCTCTTGGAAATCTTACGCTGCGATTTCGCGCTACCACCCAGCAAGGTTTCTTTAGGACGAACTTCAGACGTCGAACAAGTGGAATTCGCCTTGTAACGATCGCAAAAAGCCAACTATCGGCATCTCCGTCGACCATCCCCTAGTAGCACATAACATTGATTCAATATTAATTCACCATACGGATGTTGAATCACCATTGAGTCCATGTTGTTTCAGTGTTATGTGCTACTAGGATCTGGCGAGATATATATTCAATGCTTTCGTTAAGGAGCCGTTCGGTGAAGTCATTGTCAGGTGCACAGGACATTTCCATTGGATACCATTCTCGGCAGCTTTGTTTATTAGTCATCATGGGTGAAAAGGACTCCTACGCCACTGCAGAAAGTTATTGTCAGAGCAAATAAATAATCGAAGAGATGTGGAAATGAGGATAAGATAAGAGGAGAAAAGCGTCTTACGGCAGGTGACTTGAACCACTAGTGAGCGAGATGAAGTCCTTCGCTCTTTATTACTTCCGAGTGATTGCCATTTCGGGGAAGGCATTCGGCGCTTTCCCCCTCCAGAGAGTTCGATCCCTGGGTGACGACGGGGAAGGCGGCCCTCATTTCAGATATTGCAGTTGGGCATTCCTCTACGGCCTCATCTGCTCGCCCGTCGTGATCGGCCTCGCCAACGGCATCCCCCCGCTCCTTTCCTTCTTGTACCGCCCAACCGAGAGAGATGATTGGTTTCCCGGCGGCGCCGCGGAAGGGAGGCTCGGACTGGACGACATCCTCCCCTCGTCGGAAACCACCGCCATAGGACAGCTGGCGCAGAAAATCGCGATGGTTCACATGATGCTTGTCCTCGTCACCGCCTATCTCATCAATCTCTTCAAAGGCCGACAGCTGGCCGACGTGCTGCGCCAGGTCCAGACGTTAGAGGAGGAAGTCGGTCTGGAGACTCAGGACCTGCGACGTCTCCGTCGCTTTGGATATCTTCTTCCCCTCGTTTACGTCTGGATCGGCTTCTGGTTCGTTTTCACCGTCTGCTATGCTCAAGTCTTTCCTCCCTGGTGTGAGGGCGCTTGTGAAATCGTTGGAGAAATTTCCTACGCTCTGTTGTATTGGATTACGAGGTGCTGCCCAGTC